TTTCATTTTTAATAGTGTGTAATGTTGCTGTTGGTGCATGAACAGTATCTGCAAAGTTGCAGCGCTGAAAGTTCAATGTAAGCAGATATATCATCTTTTAAAAATCAGGAAGTATATTGCCTACAAAAACGACTCGATTTGGACTACATCTGGGTTTTAGACGTCACTAACCCACACATTTGCATCAACCACTCTCTCCGGAAAATGCAAAAAAGGGCATGCGCATATTTCTGCGGCTCGTCGAGTGTTTTGTGTTCACCCAGCTGTCAGGTCTTCTATGTTCGAGCTTCCCACGGACACTGTAGTTCATCAACAATGGATACAATTTATGTTTAAATATGTTCCTGAAAATGACGATAGTAATTTAGCTCTCTGTGCTGCGCATTTTACTGAAGACAGCTTCCAGAATCTCCACGAGTTCAACACCGGATTCAACAAGAAACTGTTACTAAAACATGAAGCAGTTCCAACTTTAAAGCCAGAGGCAGCAGTTGTTGGGCCACAACCTGTAAGTAGGCTAAGACTTCATCATTTTAAATGTATTTGCCTTTATAATTCCAGACGTAGCCTTTTGTTTTGTTTTTTTCAAATACCAGCGCTGGCTTCATAGCCACTAGGCTACTAGTTATGCTATTTTGTGGTTTCGACAAACGCGTACAAACATTATGGACCTGAATTTTGTATAAGTACTAATGTTGTAAATGTATTTTTCATTTCGATTTGATCAAGAACGTAAACTTGCCAACGCTGTTTGTGTTTAACATTAGTAGCCAGTCATATGCTATTGTGTAAAACAAATGTGTATAAAGTTAAAAAAATGTAGCAAATTATCATTCAGAAACGTTTAGTGAGAGCCGTGTGTGGTGAGGTTCCGTTTGACTCTCTTCATCGCGGGTTTCTTGGTCTGATTCTGCCTCAAACTGATACTGCAGTTCAACACATATTTACATCTGGACCGGAGCTCATCATGACATGCACGTTTCGCACGTAAGGTAATGGGTGTAAATCTTCCGGACAACGTGAGCGACAATTTAGCCAATCACAACACACCGGGCCAAACTAACCAATCTGAGCCCACTGCTTGTTTCTGAGGGAGTGTTTTCATAGAATCAGGAAGTCAACAGCTCGTTCGAGGACAGAGGAGAGCGCGGCTTACAATAAAGGTGAAGTTTATGAAAAATAAGACTTTTAAAAAAAGAAAAACCACGAATACATTATATCGCACCCCATAAATACAATCATCCAAAGAAAAAAAGCAGTCAACCCCCCCTTTAATGAAGCCAATCTCTTTCAGTAATTATTGATTACCTAATGAGTAACTATCTCAGTCCTAAATTTGACATACTGTTTATTTAATCTTGTTTCCATATTAGTGAATAGTACTGTAGTAGCTGAAGTGCTAATGTAGTACTAGTTGTCC